ATTATTAATTTTTTATTACTTTTTTTACATTAAATCGTAAAATAATTACAACAATAGTTATAACTCATAATTTTATTGTTGAAAATAAATATGAAACCCAACATAAATAATAATTTGATTCATAATGATATAACTTAAAAAAAAATTGAATCGTCTATTCATTAATAATTGTATAAAATAATTATATAAATATATAAAAATTGTTATCCTATTTAATGTATAGAATAATATTTTAATTCAATATAATAATTATATAATAAATAATAAATATATATTATTATATTATTATTATATATTAGATATATATAAAATGTTACCCTATTTAATGCATAGGATAACATTATATATATATATATATAGATAATGCCAAGGCTTTAAAGTTTAAACATCAATTTTGACTAGCACGAATTGATTTAACAACTACTCTCATGAATCACGTGAACATTTAAAACTATTGTCATCTAAACTGGCAGAATTCTTAACTATAATTAGGAGTGGGTAAAAACCGGTTTCGGTTGAAACTGAAATCGATTTTTAAATAACCAAAATTTTTTTCTTCAATTTTGAGAATTAGAACTGAATTGAAATTTTTACAAATCGATTAATTTGGTTATCAATAAATTGGTTTGGTTATGATTTTTACTAAATAAATATTAATCAATTTTTTTTTCAATAACAAATTATATTTTATCTCATATTTTATCATATTTGATCATATTTATTTAAAATTTCGATTTTCAAGATGTTTATTTTTGGTTTTTAGTTTTTTATTTGTAAAAAATTTAATTAAAATCAAACCAAAATTTATTCGATTAACATCAAAACTAAAACAATAAAACCTAAAAATTATTGAAACCAAACCAAATTTATTTTTTCAATTCAGTTTCTAAGTAACCTTTCGGTTACCTACCCGAATACTCACCCCTAACAATAATCATAAACCGGTTTTTTTTTTAAAAAAAAATTAGAACTGGAGGATATTGTTCTAATTTTAAGTAAAATTAAGTCAAATTTATAATAATAACATTCCACAACACAACTAGTGTGTGTGTTTTTTTTTTTAACTCTCAAAACAGATATCAATTTTAAATTTAATCCAATTAAACATGACTAATCACCATATTAAAAAAATTAAATTCTAATTCTAATTCAATAAGCACTAATTAATACAGTCTAGTAACAATTAAGACACACCATATGCGTGATTAATCTCGTAAAAGCAACCAAGTGATATGAATAAAAATTTTCTAGAATTTTCGACCATTCTTTAAATATAGAAAACATAAGAATTGATAACATGGGAGTTTCCATCATGTTCATGGGTAAAATTATGATTTCAACCTATTATTTATAATCCACCGAATCTTAGAAAGTTTCTATCTTTATTAATCAAACACCACCAGATTATGAAATCATAGCACATGCTTTTTAATTCGCCAAACACGCAACTAAATATTATACAAAAATAAAAGATGTTAATGTTCTACCACATGTTAAAATTTTAAAGATTAAAATACATAAAATTTAAGATATCAAGATTTAACAAAATAAATAAATTGCATATATGAATTTCTATAATCAATATATTAACTAAAGACTTTGGAATCTCATGGCAGAATCTAATATTTGGGATTTAGGTCTCTCTTTTCCTACTTAACTTTTGTATGATAACGATTGATTGGTTATGTCACTTTTTAACTCAACTATTTATAAAAATAAAGTTGTCTAAATGAAAGAAGAGACTTATTCTATTATAAAAAAATTTTGGCTACCTACGTCAAGTAATCCGTCTTTAATTACAAGTCTTGTACCTATTTATATTACATAATATAAAATTGAGATAAAACTTAAACCCACTTGAATCATGTATCTTTATTAAGTTTTATCGCTTTTTTATTTAATCTAATTTTAAAAACCAAATATAATTAACAGTAAAATTTCCAAGAAAAAAACATGATTTTGTGGCCCCATTTGTATCATTTACACCCATAAATCGTTTTAGTATTATAAAATTGGTATAATTCTTCCTTTTAATAAGCAGATCTGGTGAGTGTGTGCTGTGTTGGGTCAGGTCGAGGTTTAGTCAAACTGTTAGCTGCAATGCAAATAGTGCAAAAAAAAGGCGCAAAACGGAGCGAAAAATGGTCAAAAGAGTCTCCCAAACCCTTCCCCAGAAAAGGAAACGACAAGCTTCAGACACAAGCCCCATCCTTCCGCGCTGATTAAGTTGACATATTCCACCCACATTCTCGTTTCCCCATACATCTCCATCCTTAATCATCCATTATCACAAAATTAATCATTGATTATTAACAACTTGAATTCATTAACAACAATATTTCTCCTTAGAACTCAAGGATATAGAGGTACATACCTATAGAACAGATCCGGTTAAAGTAAGGTCATCATTAACAACTTTTTTAATCTAACATTTCTCGACAAGAAATACATCCCATTGGCCTCGGAGTGCCAACCCATCCCATCCCCGTGAATCATATGATTCATATGGGAATGGGATCCCCATATAAATTTTTAATGGGGGGTAGAATTTACCCCTTATCTCCATTATCAGTGAGGAAAGGGCCTTTACGAGGATTCCCACCCTAGTCGATTATATTATAAAATCAACTTAATTATTCTTAAAATAAAATATTTTAAATAGTTTGATTAAGTAAAAAGAAAAAGTGTTAAATTTGGTTTAATTTAAAATAATTAGACTTTAGTATTCAATTAAAATTAAAAATAAATAATGAGTATGTCTACAACTAAATTGTGTCAAATTTAATATATTTTTTTAATTTTTCACGAAAAATGAGAACCCTATGTGACCTATGATGTAGAAAAAAAAATTTATAAAATTTTCTGTAAATTTTCATAAAGAGAAAATATTCTTCATTCCCACTTTCGAGGAGGAACCCGGACCCATGGCAAGAATTCCCACAAGAATTCCCACAAGGCTTCACGTGAATGGAAAGAAATTGTCATCCTTACATATTAGAAAATTGCAAAGACACATTTAACATTTGTTTTTTATTTTCATTACTAATTTGTATAATCAATTTCTAAGGGTAAATAAGATTTTATATTCATGTAAAAAATAAAAAATAATACTTTTATAAATAAAATATAAAATTTATTTTATTATAACATTCCCATGCAAGGCACGGGTACTATATATCTAGTTTAGAACCCACACAACGACTTATTGCCTAAGCAAATTCTTCTATAAAAATGGGTTTGATGGTAGCAGTTTCTAATTCAGTGAGCTTTTACTGAGACAAAATCGGATCGCCATGGCTGAAGAAGTGAAACTTTTTGGAACATGTGGAAGCCCTTTTAGCAGCAGAATACAGGTTGCTCTCAAACTCAAAGGCATTTCTTATGAATACATAGAAGAGGATGTCACCAACAAGAGTCCTCTGCTCCTGAAATACAATCCCATTCACAAGAAAGTCCCCGTCCTCCTGCACAACGGAAAGCCGATTGTCGAAACCCGCGTAATTCTCGAGTACATCGACGAAACATGGAAGGCCAATCCCATCTTGCCGGAGGACCCTTACGACAGAGCCACCGCTCGTTTCTGGGCTAAATATATAGATGGAAAGGTAAATGGGACGCCTATATATTTTTTTAATTCCCATTTTACGAAATCAATTTCAAAATTTGATGAACATGATCTGAGTCTAAATCACGTTCTCTCCTTGTGAATTTAGTGCGCGGCTGCAGCAATGAAAGCATTTTGGGCTGAAGAGAAGGAGCGAGAGAAAGCAGTGGAGGAAGCTTGTGAGTGTCTGAAAACACTTGAAGGTGCCCTCAAGGACAAGAAATTTGCTGGAGGGGAGACTTTGGGGTTGGTTGATATTGTTGCCAACTTCATCGCCTTCTGGCTTAGGTCATTTCAAGAAATCTCTGGGGTTGAGCTGCTCACAGAGGAGAAATTCCCTGATTTATTCAAATGGAGTGAGGAGTACGTTGAGCACCCCATCATCAAGGAATACCTTCCTTCCAGAGATGAGCTGATGTTTGTCTTTGTCCACAAACGCCTTCAAAATTTAAAGTAATGCAATTTGGAGTAAACAGATAATGGATTATGGTGCTATGCCTAGTATTTTTGCTGCAATATAAGCCCGTCTGTGCTGTTGTAATCTTAAATTTTCCAATAACGTGAATTGCCCTTTTAAGTTGGATTTTGGTCAGTCTTGTTTTGTGTGTTAAGAGTTTGTGAGTGTAAAATGAGTGTATTGCTTGTACTCCTAATAATAAAGTTTTTATTGGTTGATCTAAGAAAATAATTCCATATTTTGACTCAATGTTTGATATGATTTTTGATAGCCAATGTGTCAATACAAACAAATCTAGGCCAGGCATTGGGCTACATGTTCTATGAACTAGACCGGGAGACAGACAATCCTGGAACACACCAAAATGGCCTCACTGGTTGGGTTATATGCTTGGGCCTAGCTTTTTCCTCCAAAAAATATACCCAAATGTACTTGGGCATGACCCCAAAATGCTCTCCGACCGTTTATCTTGAAATTATTAGCCTTTTAACATATATTTTGTATATTTTAATTTATAGACTTTATGTTATTGCCATAATTAACCTAAAATAAATAGAATTCCATCATATAAGTCACATGACTATCACTTCTTTGTTACTTTATCCTCTTAACGCCATATTAGTATAACTATGGTTTGTTTAGAGCCATAGAGGCAAAAACCTCACCCTAGAAGAGATTTTTCCCACTTTATAAGTCCAACTAAATCATATTTATAACAGTATAGCACTGAAAAGAAAAAAGGAAACAAAGTAAACATGGCCACGCAACTTGATTGCATGATAGGATTCTCTTCATTTAAGGCCAATTATAAGAATAATGTAAAGTTTATGGATTAAAGTATATACAAACTATATGTTGTGAGGCTAATGTAAATTTTACTTGCTTTTAATAAGGGTTAAAAAATAAAATTGAGTCATTGGTGCATTAAAAAAACTAGTTTTAACCTTTAAAAATTATTTGTACTATACTTGAAATTTTAAGTCATCTTTTATCATTCTTAATATCTCTGATGATGTAATTAAAAATAATTTTCAAATCTTTTTAACTAATCTTTATAATTATAGGGTATAAGAACATTTGTAATTTGTTTTTTTTTTTAATTATGTTTCTACTAATTTAAATATTAATGTGTTTTATAGTAATATTTTTTACTTGATTTTAAAAAATTTTATATTATCTTATATATTTAATAGTTTTAAAAATTGATTAATCCGACCAATTACACTAATCCAATTTAAATTGGATTAGTTTAATTATCATATAATAATAAATTAGATTAATTTAAAAATCTTACTAACTAATTAAATTGAATTAATTTTAAAAATATTAAAATCTAAACTAAATCATACCGCCGAACACTCCTAGGATTTAGCCAATGTATTTTGTAACTGATTATGTCGTTACACACCAAAAAAAGAAACATTTGACTAGGGAAGTCTTTACGTTGATTATAATTTATTTTGTTTGAAATTGAATGAGGAGACAGTGGTGATACGAACTTAACCAGCCAAAGCCTTCCACCCATCCACTACAAAAATCGTAGCTAAGCAGCCTCGACTTCATTAAAAATCGAAGTCAAATCGCCATGGGCTTTTCGGATTTTGGGCAAGCCCTTTTAGCCACAGAGTCGAGGTTGCTTTGAAGCTCAGAGGAATTCCATATGAATAAATTAGAGAAGGTCTTCTCAATAAGAGCCCCCTGCTTCTAAAATATAATCCAGTTCACAAGAAAATACATGTTCTCATGCACAACGACAAACCTATTGCAGAGTCCCTTGTTATTCTCGAATACATTAATGAAACCTAGAAAGGATATCCCATTTTGCTTAAGGATCCTTAGGCGAGAGCTATGGCTCTTTCTATGAAAATTGTGCTTGTGGGTTTTAACACAAGACTTGCATTTAATTCAAAATTAATTACAATAGATGGAGTAACTCACCTTCTATTTAACCCATTTACTTTTTTGTTATATACTCAATGTGAGATTTTTTCACCCAACACATCCTTTCACGTGCAAGTCCGATATCAACTTCAGGTCTTATTAAATAAGCTAATAACAAACTTTCCAAAACAGAACTTGAGCTTTAATATCCCAATAACAATAACACAAGGCTTGCATCCAACATAAAATTAATTGGCAATAAGTATGGTAGCTTTTCTTATATTCAATCTATATACTTCTTCGATTTATAACTTTTTGCACACAACCAAGACTCACATAAAGAAAATTTAGATTAATCTAAATAGGTAACTTAACATGATGAAAAATTTTATTTAGAGTTTTGGATGAAAAATGACCAAATCTCACATGCCAATCTATAATAGATGCTCTTTGCCAATCAGTGACATTGGACCTTGAACGGGTAGGGGATAAGCAATACATGCCATGATGATTGTACCCTTGAAAAAGTGTTGTTCCCATGGTATGATCCTTCACAACAAAAAACTTAAGATGAAATTCAACCAAGGCATTGTTATTTTGGCATAATTTAGAAACAAAAATTAAATTTCTAAAAGCACGTGGAACACATAGTATATTTTAAGAGTAAAGGTCTGGTTTTGGTAGAAAGTGTGGATTGTCCCACATGCAAAATAGTCATACCTGATCTATCCCCAATAACTAGTTTGCCCACTGTATTTTAGGTGTAATGCAAGATTAGACAAGTCTGGGGTAACGTGATTGGATGCACCTGAATCAATCCACCAATCATTGTTTGTCTTGCAAGATATGGATGCAAAATTTGTCACATGCACATGATTCATAAGATCTGGACAATTCTTAGCAAAATAGCCAAAACCATTACATAATTGACATGCAAAACTATTACAATTATTGTTCTTGTTGGCTGAATTTCTTTGACCACCTCAACCATGATCGCCCTGGTGTCCATGATTCACTAGATCATTAAATTTCCAATTTGGACTGCCAAATTTTGGGTCATTAAAAGGCAAGGAGGTCAACTGCACATTGTTCATAACATTGTGATATCCACCACTAAACTTGGGAGTAGCGATTGTGAACTATGTCATGAGTGGGGCTTGCAATTCTTGGTGAAAGTTTTCTCACTATAGGGACTCTTCATATATTAACAGTGTATCTTACAAATCTTCAAAGGACAATGACGGTCTATCTCGAGCTCATATAAAGGTCTTGAACTCTCAGTAATCTGATCCAAGACCATTTAAAAAATGAACTTGTACAGTTGAATTGGAGAAGGGTATTTTCTATGCATGGTTGATACGATTAATAAGCTTTTTGATCGTACGTAGATATTCAATGATTGCTCTACCTTCACACTTACGATTCAACAATCGTTCTTTGAGTATCACAATTTTGGTTTGAGAATTATTTACAGAGAGTCTTTCCAACATAGTCCATGCTTCATGGTGGTTTTAGTACTGGCCACATATAGGTGAATAGATTCAATATTGAGGTCATAATTGCATGCTAAATAGACTGATCTTATCTTACCTAGACATCAAGGATGAATTTGGAGTGTTGTCTATCGGCAAACACAGCCTCATTCCCAATATAAACTCATACAATTGATAGACTTTAAGTAGTGCGATAAATTGTCTACTCTAGCTTGAGTCGTTATTAGTGGTTAGTTTTGTCGAAAATTGAACAGCAACGTTGAAGGTGATGACATTGTTTGAATTGGTGTTTGGGTTTTCGACAATTGTAAGGTTGATGGCTATTGGAGTGGTGATGGCTGTTGGAGTGGTGATGGCTACTAGAGTGGTGATTGCAATCTTGCTTGAGTTGGTTGAGGGAGTCTTATTGGCCATGGTTTCAAGAACTAGACTTGTTTGAGGAGAAAACAACTCTAATACCACTAACACGATATCAAAAGTGATATTTGTAGAATGATAATTTCTGTATTGATTTCATGGAAATATATATACATGTGTTATGTACAGTTTAAGAGGAATGGAAACTAAATAAGCTATATACAAGATAACTATCCTAGTCATTATTACAAGATATAAATCAAATCAGAGATACAATATCAAACAAAAGATCAATAAGAGATGCACTATTGAATAGAATATCAATCTAGCTCAACCAATGGTTGTTTCCTTAATAGTTTCTGGGCTAAATTCTTGGATGAAAAGGTACTTAATTAATATTTAAGCACCATTCACTTTTTTCTGCTATTAAGGGCCTGTTTGGTAGAGTAGTTAAAATTCAGCGGATAGCGGATAGCAAGTAGCGAGTAGTGGATAGCGGTAGCGGGTGCCAGTTAGCGGATAGTGGATGGTGGATAGCAGAAAATAGGTAGCGAATGGTAAATAGCAGATTCAATAAATATAACGATTTGACTATATAATAGTTAGCAGTTATTGTTTAACATTAAAT